AACATAATATGATTTTGGTATTACAAGATCACATTTCTAAAAGCCAGGGAGGAGTTGGATACTTTTGCTTAGGAGTTAGAAAATCTTGCAAGGATACTGCCTCTGTTTATAGATCTACAATTTCTGCTTGTGCCGAGCCAATGACATTGCTCTGGGACAAATTTGGAAAGGAGAGACTAAGAGATGAAGCATGTTCCTGGGAGGCTCAGCAGCTGGAGGGTCACACTGGGTTGGGGCTGAGGAAGCCCCAGATGAGTCAACAGCCTGAGCCCAAGGAGTAAAGAGAGAAAGCTGGCTGGCAGGGAAAGCAGAGGAGGGAGCAGGAGACAGAGAGTGCCTGGGTCCTGCTGACTTCCCAGTTTCTACTGTACTCTCACGCGGCCTCACTGTGCTGTGGTTCTTGCCCTCAGATTTCTATAAGCTTCCTCTTCCAGCTTTACAAAAAGAAAAAAATCCTCTTTCCTGAGCTAGCTTGAGTGGGCCTCAGCTCCTTAGAGAGCATTGTTCCTGTTTAATGCCAAGAAGTGCAGGACAGCACGGTATGTGAGGACAGAATTTATTTTCCAAACCAGCAATCTTTGAAAAGAAAAGAGGGTGCTAGCAATTATGCCAGGACAACAGGTATAAATAAACCAGGACTGTCACAGGCAATGGGACGTATGGGTACCCTCAGGATGGGAAACCCATGAATTAGGAGACCCAGCTTGCACGGCTAACCCTACCCCTACCTCTCCATTTGCCTTCATAAGTCACTATGTTTCTCGTGTCATAGAAATATAAAGGCGATTTCATACCCACCATCATCCATTTTAAAACTGAGATAGTCTCAGTTTCTCTGACTGTAAAATAACAGACTAAGTGATGCCTAAGGTTTTTTTTCTTATTCTAAGACTTTATGTCTTCATAACTCCGAAAAGAAGCAACTCAGGAAATGAGGTAGATATGCAAGGAGCCCTTTAAGATTATATAGAGTTGACTGTCTTTACATAAACAACAATGAAGATGTTTTATCAATTTGACTTTAAAGAAGAAGACCCCCACATATTCACCAATCACTGTGATTTGGTTAAATTGTCACTGACTAGATTTTATTTCTTGAGGCATCCATAGAACAGCTCCAAACTTGGCCAGCTGGTACTCGCTTGCCCAGAGCCTTAGGTTCCGGCAAAGGGCAAGTCTATTTGCCCTGCTCTTCCCACTCCTGAGACCTAATGCTATCGGCCTTCCTTGGCCTTGAAAAGGAAGAATGTGAACAGTCTCCTTCCCTCTCACTGGTTCCCTTGCCAGCCCATCTCCTAACTAGCCAGCCCTGACCTTGGCCCGCTCTGCGTCCCCATTTCTGGGAGATGTTCAAGTCTAAGTGCAAATTTAATATCCTGAGCTGCACATTTGCTCTCAAGCAAAGGTCACATGCCTGTCTCATAGAATCTCAGAAACCAGGAGCTGGAAGGAAACTTATCTATTGTATAAGCTTCAATTTCTAGCTGAGAAAAGAATAGCCAGAAACAATAACAAACGTCCACATTCAGGCATTGTGGAAAGGACTGTGCCAGATGCTTTACATCAATCATTTTATTTCACTCTTGCAACAACCCTAAGGTAGGGATTCTTACGACCCCCGTTTTCAGAATGAGGAAACTAAGGTTTCAAGGGGTTCAATAATTTGCCACCTGGCTTGTTCAACTTAATCCAAGTATTTGTTAGTGACAGAAAAGGGAATTTTAACCAAGCTCTGCTGATTCTCAGGACACTGTTCTTTCAACTAAAACAAACAAAGTGAGGCCACAGGCATTTATCATGTACCTCCATGCACAGGCACTGTGCTTGGTACCAGGACAACTAGCGGGGTTACCAAATGAAATGTAACATACAATCCTGCCCTTCCAGGCTCTCTGGAGGAAAAGAGAGTGCTGGGTTTCTGCAAAGCTCTGTCTTCAGGGAGGTCCAAACACTTGACAGAGAAGGCCTGGTTAATGCTCAGAATATCCCTCAGGAAAAGGGTATGGACAGACAAGGGGGAGGCATTACTGGGCTTCTTTTGAAATCGAGAAAATTGAAGCAGAAACAATCACAGGACCCATAGTGAATCATAGTGCCCCAAACAAGGCACTAACCAGTGAAGCCAAGAATGGAACCAAATTGTCTTGGTTCCTTCTACGCCATTCACTGGACAGAATTAAAATCTCCCTTCAGTCACCTCTGTTCACTGCAGGGCTCAAGGACAATTATCACCTGAGGCAAATTCTTCTGATAGGAATTATGTTACTAAGCTTCTCAGAACTAGCCAAAGCTACTCACGTGAATGTCATCCCTTTTCTTTCTTCTCTTTTTAATGGAGACAAGCCAGGGCATGAACAATCTTCAAATGAGAAAACTAAGAACTGGGAGTATCAGAGTGGATTATATTACAACTATATTAAAGTCAAGGTATGAGTGAATTGTTCCATGATAATACTAATGGAAATAAGGATGGTGGCCAAAATTGATCTCCTGTTCCAGGCCTGAGATTGTGCTGAGGGCTTTACACAGACCACCTCACTCAGTCTCACAGTAACACACACAGAGGCAGATCCCGGTTTTGTGTGAAGCTTACACAATGCAAGGAAGCCCTTCCTAAGAAAAAGAAAATTTTGGATACAGAATTAGGTACAGGGTCTTGGAAGGGCCTGTGCAAGTGAAGAGCCCAAAACTTCAGCGTTGTGAGCTTCATGGTAAATGCAGTGCTGTGCCCAAGATAGCTAACATCCTCTCTTTTCCAAGTAATAACACTGAGGCTCAGAGAAGTTAAGTAGCTTGCCTGGAGTCAAAAAGCTTGTAAATGGCAAAGCTAGAATTTGAACATAGTGTGTCTGACTTTAAATCTTATGTATTTTTTCTTTGCTTATGTGGCTTCTAACAAAAATAAAACTGTTATCATTTACAAAACACTAACTATATCCCATGAAAATTACACCCATTTTCCCTAATAATTCTTATAACCTCTCTATTTCCATGAGTCGTTATTATCCCCATTTATAGATGGAGAAACTGAGAATCAAGAAAGGTGAAGTGCCTGGCCCAAGGTCACCCAGCTAGTACATGGTGGGGCCAGGACTCACGCCCAGGAGTGTTGACCTGCAAAGTCCTCACTCTGTCCCACTATCCCAGGCTACCTCCCTACAGGTGATCCAGGAGATCTGAATGATAATGATGGCATGTGTGACCTCTGGTTGACTCACAATACTCCCACCTGTCCACTGAAACTAGCCCTGTCATTGAGTTTCATACACCACATGGTGCAGTGTTCCTTAATGGGACTGGGCAATTCTGAAAGTCCACCTCCCCTGTACTATAATTTATTAGTCAGAGTCCATTTCTCCTGGAGAAAACCACATGGAAGCCAATCACTAAATATCAACGCAAACTCAAGCCCCAGCCAAGCTGCCCTACAGCCACCCCCCTGCCCCCCTTGAAATGGAGGCTCACAGGGCATCTGAGGGCTGGTGAGAGCTGAGGCAACTGGAAAGATCACTCATCTCACAGCGCTCTCCTGAAACAGTCTTTCAAAGCCACACAAGAAAAGTCACATATGGAGCATAATTGGATTGCTGAACTCTAGTCAAGAGTTTACATCCTTAAACAATCTCGCCATGGATTTGCAGGTAGACAGGAGTGGAGAAGGTTCAGTTTAGTCTTTTCCTTAAACATGAGTGCTCAGGGAAAACAACAGTCTTTGAGAGGCTCCGGCAGTCGGCTTCATCTTCCCTTGGCAATGTGAACTTTTAAAAAATTATATTATGCTTTGCCATGACTATTTTTTGTTTTGTTTTGTTTTAAGTTGCCTTTAGCTGCCAGATTTCACGTAATTGATGGCTTTTGGAAACCTCTATTAAAGGGATATGTGCTGCGACCGGGAACGAGACAACTTTACTAACCGGAAGTGCAGTGATCCAGCTGGACCAGGCCGGGGCTTGTTTACCCGGCCAACAGCAAGCGCAAGCCAGGGGGAGAAACTAAGCACGCGGTTACGGGTGCTAACGGAAGGCTGCTCCAGTGATTTTCTTTTTTAAAGGAAAAAGTGATCCCAGTAACTCTCTTTTGTTCCTCTTTCCACACGGATTGGTGGGTGTGGGTGAAAGGGCAGAAGAAACGACCACTGGTGAAGTCAACAATGGAGAAGTCTCTGAAATGACCAGCTCTCTAACTCACCCATCTGGGGGAAGAGACAGATTCAGAGTCTTTTAAGAATCTAAATGTATCTTCGCCTGAAGCGAATGGCTGTTTGAGAAGAGCAAGAATCGGTAGTGAGACAAAGCAACCAGACTGTTGGTACAAGATACCAAGCTGCTAAGTGGGGGGTTAGGGGGTGGGGCCGGGTAAGCACAGACTTTGACGGATTGAAATGTCACCCAGCCCCAAGGCCTAAGAGAGCTACCAACCGCCTTGCCTTGCCCTGCCCGGCCCAGGAAGGCAAGCACACAATAGATCACACACCCACTTCTCACCCCGAGCCCCACACCACTCCAAAGGCCTCAGCAAGCAGCCAACAAACCTGCCTCCTCTGTGGTGTCTTTCACTTAGTTTTGTTTCTTCATGAAGTGGGAGGGAAACGAGTTTGGGCCCAACAGAGATTGGGCCTGGGAGGGGGGAGATGCAAATGATAAAATATAAGTGAAAGCCTTTTTAAAAAGTCTAGATCCACAGTCTTATTTGTTATTATAAAGAGGACAGTCATTTCCATTGCTCTCCATCCTTCTTTAACCCTTCCCGACCAACCCCAAGAAGACAAGGAAGAAAGGAGGGCTCTGGTGGGGAGAGTTCGCCGGGAGCAGACCTTCCCCGCACAAGGTTCAGCAGGGGGAGGGTGGGCTGCAAGCGCCCCCGGCACGCGCGGGCGCGCGCGAGGAAAGACACACACACACACACACACACACACACACACACACACCGCCCCGCCTCACCTTCTCGAAGACACACACACACACACACACACACACACACACACACACGCCCCGCCTCACCTTCTCGATCTTCTGGTCCACGGCCTTCTGGAAGACCCGGGACACCAGCAGCGTGACGCTGGACACCAGCAGGAGCAGGGACAGCGTCCCCACCGTGTAGAAGCAGCACCTGCCCATTCTGCGCGCCGTTCACGGGCCGGGCCGGCGACCCAACAGGCGAGAGGGCGGGGCCGCCGCCGCAGCGCCGGCCGGAAGAGCCGGGATCCTCCGGCGCCCGCGCCCAGCTCCTGGCGTCCGC